GCCGAGCAGGGAGCCCGATGCGGGACTCGATCCCGGGACTCCAGGATCATGACCTGAGCCGAAGGCAGTCGCCCAACCAACTGAGCCACCCAGGCGCCCCCCTAAATTAATTCTTTAAGCTAAATGTGGAACATTTATTCAAGAAATTCTTGTGTTTTGTATATCTTTTCTAGCCTTAACTAAAGTTCAGTATTTGTTAGATTAGTTTTTAAGGTATTAAAATTGTTCCCTCTTAAGAAACATTTTTTGACACTTATAAAAATACTTCTTACTGTATTCTTTCTCTAAAATATGAATCTTAGTTTCTCTGGATTTCTCAAAAGCAGTCTTTAATATTGGTAATCAAGTTGGACAGATTTTTCAATAACATTTAAGTGGCAAGGGGAAAAGAGAAAATAAAGATAGAATATCTGTTCTAATGTTCTAAATGGTTCTCAGAAGTGAACATAGTACATTTTTCTGAATGCAAATCAAATACTAATTTATACTTAATGTAATACAATATTACAGATTTACATCTAATTTCAAATCCTATGTGAATTCAATTAGAATTAATTCTATCTCATCTTACACATCTTATTGAATACATTTTTTTTTTCAAATCTAATTCTGATCCTGGGATTTGAGATGATTTGTACTTTATAAACATTCACATGCAAATATGATGGGGTGTCACATATCATGTGCACATGGTGTTTAGATATGATTTTCTCCAATTATAAAGAAAAACATAGAATCTTGCATATAAAAACTTGACCCTTCATTTATAGCTAAAAAATTTAGAAATATAGAGAAATGCAATTAAGAGAATAATCAAGTAAGAATTTTTAAAAAGCAAAATCTGCAAAAGGCAATGTGCTCCATCTGATACATGCACATATAAAGATAAATGTGTATTTTTTGATATATGATATATGGATATATAAATCTACAATGATATTCTGAAGGAACAGAATTGACAAATGAAATCATTAAATAACTTTTTCTCTCACAATGTCCATTAAAGTGTGCTCCATAGGGTAATTCTTCTCCTTTCCCTGGATAAAATCTTGGTTGGTGTCCCATAGCTGTCTTAAATAATAAAAATCCCCCTGGTACTTTAGTTACTTAAACTATTTTAATTCTGAAAGTGATAGGTACAACCAGAGTATAATAAAAACTACAAGCTTCATTTAAAATTAAAGCTTTTGCACTCAGCTAATCAGCCACGCAACAGAAGGCAGGCCTGAGGTATACAATACGGCTTGGATAGATATTCCTCCATTTTCCCAACTTGTCTTTCTCTCCTCAATTGCTAACTTGCACTGTTTCTGATCACACCAGGGTTCAAGATGGTGGATAGAGTTAAGGGCATAGGAAAGCTCCTGCCTGCTGGTACTTTCGTGAGTTGCCATCATTGCTGTCTGGTTTGGCAGGTGTCAAAGCTGACTCTTGGTTTTTTCCCTTGCAGGGTATTTCAGTTCCTTACAGGATTCCTCAGAACATTTACTTCTCTCTCCATTCATTGTTAGGCATCTCTCACCTACAATTCACTGTGATTTGCTTCTCAGCAGGTCCATCTCTTCATAGACTCTCTTTTGGGATCCTGTTGCTTATTAGGAAGTCCTTTTGGATGAAGCTCATTTAAGATGACTCCAGGCACCCTTATGTTTATTACAGCATTATTTACAATAGCCAAGATATGGAAGCAACCCAAGTGTCCATTCATACATGAATGGATAAAGAAAATGTGGTGTATATATACAAACGAGTATCACTCAACCATAAAAAAAAAAAGTAAGTGAGATCTTTCCATTTACAACAATGTGGATGGACCTACAGGATATAATACTAAGTGAAATATATTAGAAAGAGGAAGACAAATACCATACGATTTCACTTATAGGTGGAATTTAAGAAACAAAACAAATGAACAAAGAAAAAAAAGACCCCACCCCCCCAAAAAAGCCAGACTCTTAAATATAGGGAAAAACTGGTGGTTACCAGAGGTGGGGTAGGAAATGGGTGAAATAGATAAAGGGGATTGAGTTCATATATTGTGATGAGCACTAAGTAATATATAGAATTGGTGAATCATAAACAAACAAAAAAACCGAACTTTTTTTTTTAAGATTTTATTTATTTGACAGAGAGAGAGTGAGAGCACACAGGCAGGGGGAAGCAGCAGAGGGAGAGGGAGAAGCAGGCTCCCCAGGGAGCAGGGAGCCGACTCGGGGACTGATCCCAGGACACCAGGATCAGGACCTGAGCTGAAGGCAGACGTTTAACCAACTGAGCCACCCAGGCGCCTCAAAAAACCAAACTCTTAAATACAAGAACAAACTGGTGGTTACTAGAAGGGAGGTGGATGGGGGGGAATGGGTGAAATAGATAAGGGGGATTAAGTGTACACTTATCATGATGAGTACTTAGTAATGTACAGAATTGCTGAATCATTATATAGTACACCTGAAATGAATAGAATACGGTATGTTAATTATACTTCAACAGAAAAGTTTAATGGCTACAACTGTTTTAAAAAAGAAAGAAAAAAATGACTCCAGGCCAACTTTTACCCCCATATGTGTGGCTCCCACCTTCACAATTTATCTATGGTCAATTTTCAGTTATAAATTACTTTTCAAAACAAAGCTCTCTATTCTGTTGTCACAACTGGTAGTTTTCATATGTATACAGATGTGTTTTAATTAATAAAATTGAAATTAAGTTCAAAGCATCACTGAGTCATAGTTGTTTTGCAATAATGAATACAGACCAGAAAAAAAAAAACAAAACTGTATGCGTAGTGAACATTGTTTACTGCTTTTTAAGAACATGGAGATCACTAAAATAGGCCAACATACTTCCTTTACAGATTAAAAAGCGAAGAATCAATTTAACAAAAGTTGTTTTTGGCCAGGGACAGTGCAAAGCTTTATATGATGCATTCAAGAAAGTACAGGGTCTAGAGTCAGACATATGTGGCTTTAAATACTCCGTAATATATTAGTTACAAGAAGTTGACCAAGTTCAATAAAGTATGTAATCTCAGTTTCTTCTTCCATAAAATGGGGATAACAGTCTAGCAAATATATTGTTTTGATAATTAAATAAAATGCAAAACATATGATATATATCACATAATAACTCCTTATTCATTGTTAATTAATTTTGCCTTCTAACACTGGTCAAAATTTTTTTTTATAATTACAGTGGTGGCTTCTTTAGGTCTTCACCTTTTTTTTTTTTTTTTTAAGTAGGCTCCCTGCTGCGTGTGGAGCCCAAAGTGGGGCTTGAACTCAATGACGCTGAGATCAAGACTTGAGCTGAGATCAAGAGTCAGATGCTTAACTGACAGAGCCACCTAGGTGCCCCTCAAGTATTCACTTTTAAAAAATGATTTCTGAAGTTAAAAAGAGCATTACATGAATACACACATACACACACACACATATATATATTTACATTATTTTCAGGTCATTAAATTATTACAATGCAATATTTAGCAACTGCATATATGATGTGGTATTAAAATGGGAATCTTTGTTTTACTATACTACATAAAACAAATTTTAAACTGTCAAACTATTTTTTACATTTTATTTTTCTAGATAAAGCAAAGGAACCAGTAAAAATATGCATGGACTTCTACTGAATTAATCTTTGGGATTAGTAAAACAAGTAGAGAAGCTCTTGTTTTCAACCTAGTAAGGGAGACACAGCCCATTAGATTAAAGTTCTCCAAGACATGTTGGGAAGAGAACTCTGTTAGAACTAGAATACTAGTCCTAGGGCTTTTATGATGCAAATCCTCAGTGTTTAGATGTTCACAACTCCTCCTCTTCAACTCTAAACAAGTTATTTGAGTTGGTAATCCAGTAATAGTCAAGCTACTGCTAAGTGGAATGGCTAGTATTGTATCTGTAGCCACCGTATTTATCCAAAGAGAAAACACTAGTATTTTCCCCATGTACTTAGTGTCACTATGTCAGTGTGTCATTGTAATACTTCCTTGTTTGTTTATACTCCTCTCATAAATATGCATTAATTTCAAGATTCTGGGTGTAATGTATGCTTAATATGCTTTCTCCATGTGGTTAACAATGTTGTGAAGCATTAGTACAAGCTTTTGACCCTTGATCTTATTTTTCTCTTCCAACACAGATCCAGAACAATACTGCAAGAGTCTACTGTATAACATCTAGATCACAATTCTAGAAAATG